GCCTCCCCTCCCCCATGTCCAGTCCCGATTCTGCTGGCCTGGGAGAAAATGAACGTGTCTCTGAGGAAAGCTTTGGGAAGCCTTTCAGTAACATTCGGAGCTCAGACCAGCTCAGGGGGACACGTCCCTGCATTCCAGGGGACTTCTTCAAGGAAGCAATGCCAAGAATGTCACCGAGAGATCCTAAGATGCTTTTCCTACCAGAACCCTCCCGAGCAGAGTACTCCACTCCCCCGGGGAGGCCGCAGGGACCTGGTGGGCGGTGAGAGTTCTCACCACCACCTCTCCAGATCTCTCAGGATTAAACGAGATGGTGCACATAAAACATCCAGGAGAGGGCCGCTGCTGCTGAGCCTGCGAACAGGGTCACTACCCGATGTAGGCAGCAAGACAGACTCAGCCGGGAGCCTGACACCTGCCATCTGATAGAAGCGCCTCCCGGTCAGCAGCTAAGGAGCACCTGCAGCAACGCCTGGGCTCCTTCGGTCATCAGAGACAAGCCAGCCAAAGCCACCAGCCCGTCGGCTGGGAGAGCGAGAGGCTGCAGGCTGCCCAAGTGTCCACATGGGTCCAAACGGGGTGGGGCTGAGCATAACCCTGGCAGCACTGTCTGCGGTGGTGGAGAGCAGAGGGCGGGAAAGGGGGAGTCCAGTGTCACCTGGGAGAGTGACCCGGTGAACTGTGGTGGCAGATGCACATCCTGGCGAATTAGGCATCAGTAAGAAGCAATGGATTAGATGTCAGCCCACAACATAGATGGCTCTTTAAGACACAGTGCCGACTGAAAGGCAAGAACAGGCCACTGACAACAGCATTTACCGCACAGCCATTAACAATTCATAAAGCAGGACGCACGGAGCAGAAACACTTACAAACGAAGAGGTACATGTTAGAAAGGTCCTCTCCCACTCCTGTCCTTTATTCATCTTCTTTTCTAATGAGATGCCTGTCTCTTTCTGGCTGGTTCCCTGGATATTCTGTGTTGACCCCTTGAAGGTTTTAGACATTGCACACCTCTCTCTCCTTTCTGACAGCTGTCTAGTAACTTGGTCAGGGTGTCCACTGGTGGACAGAAGCCCTTAACTTTGCTGCCATCAAACTCTGAGAAAACCTGCGGACAGCAACCATTTCTCAGTCACACAAGTCCACGGAGTCCGGGCTGTGGACGCAAAGAAGAATGATGGCTTTTGACCCTTAAGGAGCTCACAGACTCCTGGGAACATAGACTTTCCATCAACGATAACATGGACACAATGATCATGACCACAGAGGGCAGTGCAAGGTGCAGTGAAGGGTTAAAAGTTCAGGGGCCCAAGTCAAGGCTGAGTGAGACTTGACAGATAAGCTTGGCAGGCAGCCCTGAGGGGAGAACATTCTAGAACAGTGGTTCTCAACCTTCTGGCCCTTTAAATACAGTTCCTCATGTTGTGACCCAACCATAAAATTATTTTCGTTGCTACTTCATAACTGTAATGTTGCTACTGTTATGAATCGTGATGTAAATATCTGATATGCAGGATGGTCTTAGGCGACCCCTGTGAAAGGGTCGTTCGACCGCCAAAGGTTGAGAACCGCTGTTCTAGACCAATAAAACAGTACACGCAAAAGTCCAGTTTGGGAAACCACAAGAAACCCAGTATGGCTGGGGCACAGATGGAAGTGAGGGATGGGCACAGATACTGGACAACCAAGCCCGGGCCAGGGGGAGAAGGAGCTCAGATTTTCTCCAGCACAAGGGGGTAGCATGGTTCCTTGCTCTGCCCACAGCCACTGGCGAGTTGGCCTCAACACCAGTGACATTCAAAGAAGAGGGCCTCCTTCAGGGGCCTTAAGAAATCTGGGCTCCCCTTAGCTACAGTAGCAAGGGGTCGAAGTCTTAGAAAAGCCCATAGACAGAATATTCTAGAAAGAAAGGGTTCGTGAGCATCCAGGTTGAGCTACCAAGGTGGATGAGAGACATCCGTTGGACAGGTCTGCACTGTCCTGAAGAAAATGAAGACTTCCCTTCCTGATCTGAGCTGGAGGCTGGACCTGTGCTCACCTTCATGGAAGTTCTCAGCCACAAAACTTCCCAACTGCCCAGTGTGCCTGTGCTGGAAACGCACCCAATACAGGCATTAGTGACGCAGCGGAATCTTACCCAAGACCCCACCAGGATCTCCGCCAGGCAGCTGTTTCCTCCTGAATCTCACCCATGTTCACACTCCATAATGGGCATTTTCTTAAAGGAAAGGAAAGCCGTTTGTAGAAAATATTTGGCTCCAAGCTAGGAGGTTGCCCTTATATTTTCTGGCCCAAGAAGAAATCCATACGCACAGACACAAGGCAGCCAAATAGGAAGGCAACATGGGGGAGGGGGGGAGGGGGGCTGTGCGAGGTGCAATGAGGAGTTAGACTTCAGGGGGTCACGGTGTCAGGGCAGAGAGAGACGCCAGCGATAAGCTAGGAATCTGGAAGTGACTCCCTCACAATCACAGGGCCTGGGCACTTCCACTTCCTCCAGCGGCCTCAGCTCCCGGGCAGAAAAATAAATCTTGTTGCAGCACAATTTTATCCTTTAAGGGCACTAGGTAAATAGCTTTGGAATATTTTAAGAAAACGGGCCAACACCTTCTCTCCTCCAAAACACACACACACACACACACACACACACACACACACGTCCCAGTCATGCCCAGTATCTGTGAAGTGGATGCACTTATTTGTTAGCTTCCTCCCCCTTCACCGTGGCCCATCGGCTAGCTATGTGTAGGGCTGCAAGGATGCACAGAGGAGAGGAAGCCAGACGCCCAAGATCTGTGCCCCCCACATCCCTCCAAACTACTGAAGGCATTTTCCAACACAATCTCAGTGGCCAATTTGGGGCGATGACTCCAGACTCTACTGCCAGGGGAGGAGAGGCCACTGCCCACAGCTGCCTCGGTGCTCTAAAGGCCTCCTGTGGCCCTTAGCTGCCAGGCCCAAGTCCGGAGCCCGGCTGTACTGGAGGAACGAGGCTGGCAGGGACCGAGCCCACCCTCCTGCCCGGAGAAATGGGTCCCACGTTCTCACAGGGAGAACGCAGGCTGCTGGGCTGCCCTTAGCATCAACAGCACCATCCTGCACACGTGAGAGCCCGGGGCCCTGACCTCGGGGGTCAGAAGTAGCCGCCCGCCCCCCGCCCCACACACACACACACTGAGAATTCACTAATGAATTAGAGCTCTGGAGTCCTTCAGTCCTGAGCGGAGACCTGGGGGGTGAGGGCGTGGGAGGGAGTCACGCTTCAGAAGGATTTGATCTCAACAGCAACAGCCTAGCTTCTCCCTCTGAGAACAGAATGGTTCCCACTCTGGCGGGGAGCAGTGCATGGCGCGGGGCGCGACACCTGGATCCCATAACTCATGGAGCAGATCCGCTCGCAGCCTGAACTGTTTACAGTTCCCCGCACCAAACCCACATCAGAGGGGCGGGGGATGGACGCCGGCCCACTGCGAGGCCAGGAGGTCAATGGGAAAAAATTATTTTAGTCAACGTTGAGCCTTCGTGCTTGGAACTTCGGTCCAAACTGTGGCGCGTTCTCATGCTCCCCCCCCCCC